TTCAGAAACGTTTAGTAAGAGCCGTGTGTGGTGAGGTTCTGCTTGACTCGCTTCATCGCGGTTTTCTCGGTCTGATTCTGCCTCAAACTGATACTGCAGTTCGACACTATTATTTACATCTGGACCGCGCAGGCACGTTTCGCCCTGTAATGGGCGTTAACCTTCCGGACAATGTGAGCGACAGTTTAGCCAATCACCACACACACAGAAAAACCACGAATACATGTTACATTGCACCCCATAAACAGAATCATGCAAATAAAAAAAGCAGTAACCCCCCACATCCATCCTGACAAGAGTGGTGGTCACAATCTCAACCTAGCTAATGTATTTGGGGGGATATATAAACTTTATAAACTGGTTTCCACAAAGAACCCATTTGAGGCACATGCTTCTGAAATGTTGTGACTATGTTAAGAGTAAAACCCCCACAATTGTTCACTTTTTAGACATGTTAGTTTTGTGATTAGTAATTAATTGGTTATTATTTCTTAGTTCACAAGTAGTTCTCAATGAGGATATATTTCTTTAGTAATAATCAAATACCTACCAAGGAACTACCTTTGTACTAAATTACCTATTACTTAATGCTTAGTTAATATTGCTTCCATATTAGTTAATAGTATTAAGTTCGGTGTTAATGCAGTACCTATTACTTCCTGCATAGCTACTTGTTAACTACGGACCATTATTTTAAAGTGTTACCCTTTTACTTTGAGTAAAGATCTCTATAAGTACTTACTTTTTCTTGAGTACAGTTTTTGGACACCTCTGATTACTTTAGAATTTCCTCAGAATTATAACAACTTCACCAGCAGTTTCAAATACATTTGAAACATACACATTTGTTTCAGTTACTTTAGAAACAACCAATCTAGTGTAATTCTATCACCACACTACTTCGGGTTGATTCACTTACTTTAGAATCTTAACAGAAGTATAAGCGACAAACATCAAGTTTCAGGTACTTTAGAAACTTTACACTTAAGCCCTTTGTTTCAGTTACTTTAGAAACAACAATTCCAATACAACTCTGCCGCTACACTGCTTTGGGCTGATTCATTTCCTTTATAATCTTAAACAAAATCGGACAAAATAGGCTTAATAACTTCTCCTGCTAATACTGAATAAATCAAATTCTCTTCTGTCCTTAAAATGTTCTTTTTGTAGATTTTTTTTAAACGAGGGGTTTTTGTTGGAAACTCCTTGAAGGGTGGCTCGCCAATGTAAGGAAAAATGAAGTGGACGTCGAAGATTTTAAAAAAATTACGTTTATTACAGCATAGCAGTGGCAAGGCACATGAAGCACCTTGGGTTCACCGGCGTCAGAATGAACCCAGAGCATTCAAATCTTAAACCTTTTATCCTGTTACTGTCCTCTTAATGTAAATGAAGTTGCTCTTGTCGTAACAGCTGTGTTCTGTATGTAAATTAAGGATAACAACAAAAAGTGGTCCCTCTGTGCCCACATCTTTGGTCTTCTTTTAAATAAGAATTGCCAAATGTTTAATGTGATAGCATCTATTTAAAGCCCCCCAATCAAGATGGTTCTCGAATACCTGCTGTCGCTTCCACGCTATAGGTGTTAAGATAACTGTGACTCTGTGACACCTCTTACATATTACTGAGATTGTAAGGAATTGATTCTATGATAAATAAGCTCTTTTAAGTGAAGGAACATTTCAATATATATATATATATATTGGGGTGGAAGTTTGGTCGGAGCAGACTATAATTTCTTTAAAGGAAGAATGCAGAGTTGCATCCCAAGAACACCATACCTACTGTGAAGCGTGGGGGAGGAAACATCATGCTTTGGGGCTGTTTTTTTCTGCAAAGGGGACAGGAAAACTGATCCGTGTTGAGGGAAGAATGAACAGGGCCATGTATCGTGAGATTTTAAGCCTTCCATCAGTGAGAGCCTTGAAGATGAAACATGGCTGGATCTTCCAACATGACAATGATCCCAAACACACCGCCCGCGGGCAACGAAGCAGTGGCTCCGTAAAAAGCATTTCAAGGTCCTGGAGTGGCCTAGCCAGTCTCCAGACCTCAATCCCATAGAAATCCCATTGTGGAGAAAGTTGAAAATCCTTGTTGCTCAGCAGTTGCACATCACTGCTCTAGAGGAGATCTGCATGGAGGAAAAAAAACCTGGTGAAGACTTACAGGAAACGTTTGACCTCTGTCATTGCCAAGAAAGGTTATGTTGAGTTGAACTTTTGTTATTGACTAAATAATTCATTTCCACCATAATTTACAAATAAATTCTTTAAAAATCCTGGATGAAAATTATATCCTGGATTGTTATTATTATGTATTTTTTATTTTTTTTCATTTTGTGTCATAGTTAAAGTGTACCTACGTTGAAAATTACAGACCTCTCTCATCATTCTAAGTAGGAGAACTTGCACAAGCAGTGGCTGACTAAATACTTTTTGGCCCCACTGTACATATAAGCTTTACAATTATATCAAACAGAAACAAAGGACAAACATTTGTGTAACCAGCAGCAACCGAAGCACATTGCAAAATTATTTATTTACCTCCTACTCTTTTACACACAATCCTTGCTCCCAGCATCTCTCCAACCATTTCCTCCATCTTTTTTTCTTTTTCTCCTTTTCACTGGAAATCAGCACAAAGATTATTTGGATTGCAAGCTTCTTATTTTAATTTAGCTATATCATTTTTAATTCATAACAATTCCAGTCTTAACTCCTTTATCACTTCTAACGTGTTTGTTTTCAGAGTTGTCGGCAATACCTTCTATTGTAAAGTCATGCAATGTGCAACCCCCTCTTGCCGATCCATTGTGCAATGTGCACACAACAGAAACTGAATGCTACCCTAGATAGTTGTGCAGTGTGAAAAGAACAGTGATCTGATGACTTTGAAAATTGAGCAATGTGAACTCGGCAATATTCGTACGACACAACTGCAAACAACGGAGGACGTCCTGTTTTGTATTAAACACACTAGGTTAAGGAGAAAATGCCACCCCCTGTAAGTTTTGTTGTCTAGTTAGTCAGCAGTTTAGTTTAGTTAGGGTGTCTTGACGCTGAATTATTTTTCTTTCTGCATTTTCTTTTGACAGTTAATTTAGCTGATTAAACCTAGTTAGCTTCATTTTGTTTTATTTATTTATTTGACTGTCTCTCATGCTCACCTTCCCACCTTGTTTTTGGTATTGTTATTTGTTCCTTTGTAAATATTTAGTTATTTTCTTTTCACCATGTCACTTTGGCACTGCACTTTAGAGTGGAGTTGATCCTTTTTCTTTTATTGCCCTACCTTTATATTGAGTAACCCATTTCATTAAATGGTATACTCACATTTACCCCTAGCCAAAAATCAAGTTACATCTAAGGGATGAATATCATTATGCACTAATACTGATCAGACTCGTTAGTTTGGTGTCTCTAAAAAGAAAAGGCAAAATAAATAAATAAAAATTAAATAAAATAAAAAAACACCTGAACAAACCATTCTGTTTTTGCTGCAACATGAATCTCATCCAAAGCTGAAGCTCAGACCATTTTGACTTCCTGAGGCCAAGGGGCATCCTGATACAATAAGGACAATTGATATGGAAATAGAATTATTGTGAAGATTAGATGAGAAACCCCTCGTGATGATTCTTAGAGGTGCTGTTGTTGTAGATTTCACAGTGACTGAATGAGGAGGGATCCTGTTGGAAATTAAACAGAGAGACTCTTTCATGACATAATTTGCCACGCATTATGATCATTTAAAGAAGGGGGAGCTGGTCATGAGAAAAAGGTTCCTCAGTACAACTCACATGATGTCCTTTAGTCATGCTCTTATGAACCATGTGATCTTGTTTTAGAGGAGGCTATACACAAAACCACTATTGTCATTTAGCTTAATCCCTTCATTTATGATATTGCCATCTTTGGTTTTAAGATGGTAAAGGGTAGCTGCAAAGAAGAACAATTATGAAAATGAAAATTACCCATCAAGAAATTGTTCAAGTTTAACAGTTATCTGAGACATGAGAGACTATTTACTCAATACCCACATGACCAGCAACCAGAAAGTAAATATAAAATACAGCCAACTACAAAAATGGACAAAATTTAATAGTCTCACACTCTAAGCCATCATCATCATCTTCAGCACCTTTAATAGGCCATATGTACCTAAAACATACCAACCATGAGTGCAATAGTGTTCCTGGTTTTACATTGATCTCCATAGGCTGTCATTGGCCACAGCTGTGGATTGTTCCATATTTGGAAGGTGAGCAGGTGGAAGTACTCATGATTGACCTTAATGCTCATGAAAAGATGTTAATGTACTGTTCCAGTGAAAAGTTGAACACACTTTCTCATTTAAGTGAATGTGGGGTTTGGTTTAAAATTTTGGCTGGTACTGTCCATGTTCTAAAACAGCTAAATTAGAAAAATGTACTTTGGCTGCAGCCGAAAACTTCCCTACTATTAGGTAGGCAAAAAACAGTGAAAGAAATACGTCCAAATTCACAGTAGGCCTACTGGCAAAAAGTACCAGGATGTCCTACTTCTTCTGGCAAGATTCTGAGGTGTGCAAACGATACACTTTACCATCCCTTACGAGGCCATGGGAGAAGATTTGTGAATGGCAGTGAAGCAACGTAACTCATACGTATATTTTACAACATGGAAGACAAGGACATGTCCAATTGCATAAGGTTTTGATCATTATATAGTTGATTGCCTATTCCTGATGTCTCCATGATGTTAATAATTCAATGTACTAATGGTGCAAGCTATCATTAAAATAAAAAGTGGCAAGCTTTTAGACGTGTTTTACTTTTCAAACAAATACCTTGAGGAGAAAGATTGCGCTCCACTTACTTGATGTGATATTAAAGCCCTGAGTTCATCTGCCTTAGCAAAATAATTAAGGTAACACTTTCATTGGTTAATATTAGTAAACTACTATAGCTAATTTTAACAACTCTGATTTTATTACACATTGATACCACAACAATCAACTGCATTTTTTGTGGTTTTATTGTCTTAATATTTGCATAGCAATTAATTTAAGAAAAAAAATCTTACCTAATAGATGGACAATACAACAAAGAACTACAGAAATATTAGAAAGAAGAACTAAAAAAAAACAGGAAGTGAACAGAGACAGCAGGAATTATAATATGATGAAGTGATATGTAAAATGTTTGAGGTCTTGAGTCATTAGATTAATTATATAACCTGTGTAAAGGCTCAAAGAAAACTCAGAGAAAAGATCTAACGTGACTTGCATTTCCATTCTAAAACAGATGAGATGATCACAGTCTAAATTTGCAAACATGTACAAAATTGACAAACACAGACAAATACACTATACTTAAAGATACATAATGCTTTGTGAAACTACATAAATATCTGCAAAAAAAAAAAAAAAAAAAAAAAAAAAGACAGGCAAGCACAAGAGTATAACATTTTAAAGCTAATAATAAAGCTCTTCTGCATTAGGGTTAATTACATTTCTGCCATGAAAAAGGCTGCAGGGGAATTCCATACATATGTGCACCAAAAACAAACCCATCCTTGTTCTTACAATCAATTGCTTTATGACATTTGTAAAATCTTTAAATGGGGAACTACAGAGAGCATGTGAAGTCACATTCAAGCTTGGTCTAATATTTCCATGAAGCATGAATATATTATGAAGGTTGGGCAAAACTCATGTCGTTCAGAGTGTGTAACAGTGTCAATGCTAAGATATTGAATCTGTGTTAAATCAGTCAGTTGAATTTGACTTTTTTTTTTCCACACGGAAAATTAATACAAATTCTGGATGCCAATGTTAAATAAAACTTAAAGCAGTTCCTAACACTACATGTAAAATGATGCCAGTCAGTTAAAATACATACCTTTTTGCCGTCTCTAACACAAACTTAGATTTACCATTTATACTGTAGCACCACATTCACTTGTTAATGAGTATCCCTCCAGCTGACTCAGAGTAAGGTATCATGGTATTAGCTAAATGTTAAATGCAATTGGTAGGCCACCGATACCTGTATGCAGATCAGTCCCTAAGTTGACGTGTATTTGTTGGAGGCACGGCTGTTGCTTTGTTCGGATCCTCGCTCTGTCACCTTCAGCTTCATGCAGGACTGCTTGTCATCCATGGCTAACATTTCAGGAGGCAGGCACCAGCAACACAGACATGACTGGAAGGGAACAGAGGAAGAAACGTATTATTTATCATATAAACTACTGCAGGATGCCTATAGCTCACACTTGCAAGAAAATTAAGATAAACTGAATAAGGCCTTAAAATATACAGGTGAACAAACTAAATATTGAAATCTTTGAAAATCGTGTTCACTGAAAAGAATGAATGAACAATCTTAAAACATTTTATAACATGACATGGCATCATAAAAAATTACATGGCATCATAAAAATGTGGCTTTCACACGTAAAATGTAGATAGCAAGACACCCGTCTAATGCATATTATACAGAGAAACAAAAAGTAGAGCAAATGAATGCAAAAACATGTTCTGTAGGAAGTGGCTCTATGTATTAAATATTTTTTTTTATTATCATGTCCAGATATTATCACATTATTATCATTATAAAGAGAGTTTCATTTCAGTGATAAGACAATATATATATATATATATTTGTTTTCACTGACAACATCATATAAATGGTAGCTATATATCTACATTATTTACATTGACGTAGGAGTTTTTATTTTACCAACATTTCCCAATATGTTATAACTATATTTTTATTTTTTTACATCATAGCAGTACAACATTGTCTGTCAGTCTGTTCTTACTCTGAAGCAGCTCTTGAAGCGTTTGCTAACCATGTACAAAGCGATTGGGTTTATGCATGAGTTCACTGATGCCATGTTGATCCCGATATAATCAAGAACCAGGAAGAAACTACATGTAAACAAAAACACAAACAAACAGGCTCATTATTATTAAGACTATCATTTACCAAAGATAGAGATATTATTTGTTTCTAGACTAAATGGCAGAACTGTTGTCCTCTGAAAGCCAAATTTAAATGTTTAGAAAAACATTGCAGTGTTTTAACAAGAGAAAGCCTTTGAAAATTGTTGATGTGATCTTACCTCAAAAGCTCACAGCGATTAGGGTCTCTTTCATCATAAATGGTAAGCTTTAGAATACGACTGAGGTGCAATGGAAGCCAGCACAGTGCAAAGACTAGCACCAGACAGAACACGGTTTTAGCCACCTCACGCCTCTGTAGAGCACAATAATGTCTTTTGCCTATTTATTTTGATTTAGAAACAATCACAGTGGATTAAGACATAATGACAAGTAAACTTTGAGTATCAAACTTTGGTACAAGTTATTAAAGTGAACAAGCTCTTTACGTCCCATTGGCAGTATACAATTATGTCTTTATTTTGTATAGGGAGTGCATGGTCTCTCTTAAAAGAATATACAGTGCAGTGTGCACTTTCAAAGGTCATAGGGGACAGAGAGCTCTGACCTGTTTTAGGTGATCATTAAGTGCAATTTGGACTCCATTCTTCTTTCGAAGCATTTCACAGGTCATAAGAGTGTAGAAGATGGCAGTGCACATCAGCGGCATGCAGAAGTAGAAACTGAAAAGCCACCAATCTTTGGCTGACTTATAAAACTGGAAATGAACAAATTAACCAAATTACCACTGACAAGTAATGAATTATTATCATATTCAGGGTTGTTCAATTATTATGTGTCATGTCCAAATTTTTGTTGATCCAACTATTGTATGACATGCAAACTGACCTGCATGAACTTGTTTTTCTGCATAGGGTGGAGCAAGCAAATTCTAAGCAGCTCTCCTTTGTAGTCCATTGTGATCATATCAAAGGCAATTGCCTCTGGCACTGCAAGTATAATGGACAGCATCCAAATCAGAATTATTTCAATAGCGGTCCATTTGGGGATGCCGATGCCTTTAATGCGGTTCCACGATGCCACTGCTCGAAACCTTCGGACAATGATCAGTGCCAGAAGCAAAATTAATTAGTGTAACTAGATATTATCTAAGAGCTAAGAGCAAATAAACACAACAAAATACAGATACCTGTCTATGCTCAATGCACACAAACTGAGCACTGTGATGCCAACTGATGCCTTTTGTATAAAAGGAACCAGTTTGCAAAGTCCAACACCAAATGGCCAATCTTCCGCCAGAAGCTGAAAGACAGTTACGTTTGTGTCAGTAAGTGGCAACAGAAAATTACATAGTGGGGAAATTGGTGGGTTATTTTTGGTAACACTTAAAGCCTTTATATATAATGCATTATAAAAGTAGAAGCAAGCTATTAAGAGCTGTGAATGTAAACCTCACTCCCCTGGCCTCAAGATGTGCAATAGTGACCAACGCTAGAGACTGCTTCAGAGCTGATCCTCCCTACACGCACACTACGCATGTTGCGTAGGGCCCCGCAAATTACTCAAGGCCCTGCCACTCCCTCGTGTCAAAGAGCATCAATCAAAGTTTACAAGATCGATGAGATAATTAAGCAGAACCATTCTTTGGGTCATGAAAAGAGAGACTGAGAGAAAAATACCATGTGAGTGAATTAAGGGAATAGCGATCAGGCAGAATTGCGATGTGGCAGACTTTAAATAGCACAAGAAATTTAATTTGTGATATAGATACGCACTGAGATTACGTTGTATTTCTGTATTTCTTATAAAATTGAAGCCAAACCATGGCAACACCGTGGGTTGTAGTAGTCGGTGTTTGAAGTTATTATTAGTAGTTCAGCATTATTATTGAGAGTGGATTGAGTTTATTTTCGTCTCGGAGCCAGCGAGAAAAAGAAGTTGTTCCCAAGTTTGGGAACACTTTAAACTTATTTCCCCGAAAAAGGTTTAGATCTTTTGACATTTCTGCATACAAATATTTTTACTATTATGTAGTGAATGATATGGAGAAAGACAGAAACTTCAAAAAAAACCCTCTGCGACATTATACAAGTTCAACCAGTTACACAAGCACATCATTTTCAACAGTCCCACCAGTTAACAAGTTATAGAGTTCTGCTTCCCACAGGAAAGAAGCAGTAATGTAATGATTTCTAGTCATGGAAACCATTACAGAAATTCTATTGGATTTAATGGTTTTTGTGGGAATTCTATTGGTTGTAATGGGAATTATAGTGGTCTCTGTGGGTCTATTGGTTATATTGGTGGGGGCATTAAATCTTAACCCAAACACACTACAAAAAAGAATTCTGTAGTGGTTTAAATGGTAAAAGCCAATGTTTTCTAATGGTATTTTAATCGAAACCATTAGAATTTTTGTGATGGTTTCCAACTTTTTTTAAGCTGGTCTGATCTGCTGTCCTACACACAGGGATGGGCAGTATTTCAGATACATGTATTTAAAATACGTATTTGAAATACAAAATACTATTTTGTATTTTGTATTTTAAAGCTTTTGGAAAAAATCAAATGTAATTTGTATTTAAATACATTTAAGATGAGTATTTTTGTATTTTCAAAATACTCAAAATACTTTGAGCCAGAATCCTAGAAGATCAGAGGAAGGATTTGGACATCTTGAACCAGTATCGACTTACTAGACAGCTGTTTGTGAGGTTCAACACAATCATTCCCTCTTCAGCTGCTGTAGGGCGCTTGTTTTCCTTTGCGGGTCTAATCGGTACATTTTATTTGAAGGGGTGTGCATAAGACTGACATGACACTGTCATAAACATGACATAACACCTGTCATGAACATGAAGGAGTCTTTATGAATGTTTATGACTTTTGTCATTAAGTGTCATTCGGTAAATTATGACAATTTTAATGCAAAGTTGACATTGTTTAAAATGTCTTTGTTATGACAACTTGACATTAACAAAGACAAAAAAATGTCTTGATTATGACAACTTGACAATAACAAAGACAGAAATGTCTTTGTTATGACAACTTGACATTAACCAAGAAATCATAACCTGTCAACCTGCCATGTTTATAACTAGTCCAACGTGTTCCACTTTACTTGAGGTAAGGGGAAATATTAATGACACTGTTGTTAAAACATTTGACAGTGTAATAACCCTTAATGACATCTTTATAACTAGTACGATGTGTTCCACTTTACTTGAGGACAAGTAAAATATTCATGTCACAGTTATAATGGTGTCATGACGGCCAAAGTCAAAACCAACCACATATGACAGTAATGTAATGTTAACGCAAAGCTAAATAACTTCGTTAAGTTTGATAATTAGACCTGTTTTGACATTTGTGACAGGTTATGATTTCTTGGTTAATGTCAAGTTGTCATAATCAAGACATTTTTGTCTTGGTTAATGTCAAGTTTTCATAACAAAGACATTTTAAACAATGTCAACTTTGCATTAAAAGTGTCATGTTTATGACAGTGTCATTTCAGTCTTATGCACACCCCTTCAAATAAAGTGTTACCGTTTAATCAATAGGCCACACAGACGACGTCTTAAACCCAAACTTTTTGAAAAGCTGGTGGTGCTAAAGGGAATCGAATACGTAGATAGATGTCTGAAACACATAGGTACACCACCTGGAGGAGTACACCATCAGTTATTTAAAATATAATTGACTTTGTGTTATTGAGTTCTTGTTCCTGAGTGCGAGGTAATGGTGGTGATAAAACATCATAAAAGATGTTAAAAGTTTTGTATTTCCTACAGGGCCGGGGAAGGGAAGAGGTATATAAAATGAAAATGAAAGTTTCTAAGTAGTTGCACACATCTAAATAATTGTTGGCATTCAGAATAGGCCCAGATAGATTTCAGCCTAATAGGGATGCCTGCACTGAATTGCCAATTTCACATGTATTTTCTGTATTTTCAAAATACAAAATACTGTATTTGTATTTAAATACATTTTTCCACACAGTATTTTGTATTTGTATTTAAATACATTTCCATGTATTTATGCCCATCCCTGCCTACACACACACACACGTCATGCTTAATGTTTTATTGTCAAGGTGAACACATGAAACTCACCAGTATCTGTAAAATTCACCAACATAAATGAGTTTCACAGCACTAACACTGTTTCAGCTTTGATCGCTTCGTAAACGCATAATAAACGGGGCGTTTACATACACACCTACTTTATGGTTGTCAGCTTGCATTACATCTACAATTATGGTGACAGTTGCATTACATTTACTTCACCAGGAGATGGTGCTGCAATTTCTATCTGAATGAAGCTTTGAGTAATGAACCATTTTCAATGCAATTGTATCAGAAAGCAATAATGCTTCGAAACACTTCATTTGGCCATCACTACGAATCGGCACAAGACAGCAAACACAAGTAGATTAAATAGGCCAACAAACAATAGAGGTAACAAGGCTGGCAGGTGGGGGAAATAAACCAATAACGAGATAACAAGATGGGCGGGGTTGACAATTAGACAAGAGAGCACATGGCACAAGAAACAACAAGACACTCATGTGCTAACACAGGACCAGACTAGAAAAACATATGACAAACAGGGCATGTAACAAACCCATGGGAAACAGAACTGTGACAGTCAATAGCCACGTGCGGTGTCCAAGTTTTGCAAATATAGACTAAGGGGGCTTTCGCACTGGCAGTTTAGTTCAGAACGGGGCGCGGTTGGCATGAAAAATCGCTAATGTGAACGTTGTCATTGAACCTGGGTGTGCACTGGGGTACCGAACCCGAGACTACCTGGAGGAGGTGGTCTGAGTTCGGTTACTACCGAACCGTGGCGCGGTTCGCGTGAATGTGGAAGCAGCATGCGTGCGTTTTAGCTTATTGTGATGTATTCAGTTACCGGTAATTAAAACACTTGTAAGGGATGATAGTGTTGATGATTTACCTTGGATACGAGCGAGAGCGAGACTGAGAGTGAGCCTGCAGTGTATTCGTGCATTGCGCGTGAAATCAGGGCACCAAATTTAGAAATCCACTGTCTCCTCAAAAGAGTCTGTTTGCAAGCAGCTAAAAGGTACAACCACCTTATGTGACATAGGGCTGGGTAATAAATATCGATTCCTCGATATTAATCGATTCTCATTTTTACAAACCGATATCGATTCTTAAATCTCAAGAATCGATTAGTCATCCTGTTTCATTGGAATGAATGGATCATTGTATCGCGGCTGCGCGCATCCAAAAAATGGCAATAATCTTTGTCCTTTGTTACTATTGATATGAAACAAAGTCTCAATTTTCAAATTACGTCCATTTTCTTTAGAAATTCAAAAACATAAATAACGTTTTGACGCTGTGGCGTGAGATCACTCTGGTGCAGCTCAAGAGAAGCAGCAGCGCTGATCTCTCTTCCGGCTTAATAATACCAGCGCGAAATATACATGAATGAGCATCTGAAAGTGTTAAAAGATAGAGTACAACTTATCGAAATCCGTATCATGTCACATTGATTCGCTCAATCAGCGTTTCAACCGTGGAAAGACGTCAGTTAAACAGCTTGTAATCAATGTCATCGTCATATTCACCTCAGAAAACCCACATAAACTCGTTAGTTAATGCATATTAATATAATTAATTAATATATAATTAATGCATGTTTGAATAAATCTGGCAAGTTTTTATGACAGTCACCATTTAAATGTTTATATTTCATATAATCTTCTTATTATGAAAATAAATAAAAGTGTAATTTAAGTGTTTGTATAGCTACAAAACAGTTCATTATTACCTTCATATTTGTCACGTGTGGGTTTTGTTGTGTTTTATATATCACGTGATTCTTTGTTGGTCATGTGATCCTGCCATGTGTCTTGTCTTTTGTCATGTTGTTGCTCAGTGTCCACAGGTGTTTCTTATCAACCACGCCCCCTTGTTATCTTGATTGGCTTGTTTGTCTGTGTATTTAAACCCCTTTGTTTCAGTTGTTGCCTGTCGGTTGTTGTTTAAATGTTACTTGGTTCCTGTCTGTTTCTCTGTCCTGTTCTGAGTTCCCTGGATTATCGGTTAGTGTTATTAATAAAAGCTTGCGATTGGATTCACTCTCTGTTTCGTTCCTGACCAGACGTAACAGAACAACCGACCAACAAATGAATCCAGCAGCACAAATCCGGGAGTTTGCTGGTCAGATCGCGGCCTTGGCCCTGGATAGCCGTGATCTGTTCCAGTATACCTGGGGGTTTGTTCCTCTCGCTGCCTCCTGCTCTCTCGGTGATGAGGCTATTAAGC